ACCATTTGCTTACAGGGAAGAAGATTGGTGCACTCTTCTAGATAATATGGAATTCGGCAACACCGAAACAAGTTTATATTATTTTTTAAGTGGAAAAGGTACAAAACTGGTAACAGAGTTCGTAACATGTTTAAAAGCCCAAATTTGGGTGGCAACTGTTAATAGCCTTAGAAAGTGCACAAGTGATAGGGTCAAAGGTGTAGCATGTGTTTTAATTTTGATTGTGAACTGCATTTGAGATTTGACAATTGCGTTGAGGTTGAATTTTGATACCCAATGAATCCCGAGTTACGATGTGAATGCTAGATTTAATTATTATCAACAACTAAATTCAAATGTTCGGCCCAAAAACAAGGTGGCTTTGAATCCAAAGGCAAGACCGTTGGAAGTAGCTTAAAAAATTAATGTTGCTCACGTGCCATATATATTACCTCTTAGAGGGTTTTGAATCTTAACCCATTTAAGTCTTTTATTGGTCCATCTAAAGTCTGACCTAACATATATATATGGTGTCTTTACCCTAACCGTAAAGTGTGTAATTTGTGTGTTCGAAATGAGAAAAATGTGTGGCCTTAGTAGAGAGGAAAAATCGGCTACCTTTTTGTTAGAAAATCGATTGTTAACTTTGTATTACTGCTCTCCTTTGTGCCATATTTTCATTTTTTTCCTCTTACCTTTGTGGCTTACCTTTCTTTACTAAACAACCAATCCAAACGGCTCTAACCCACACACAATATATTCAACCCGATTGCTCCTCAATCTCACCCACAAATGACAAGATAACGGTGAAGAAAAAACTGAGCCCACAATTCATTGTTTTAACGATCATTAAAGCAAGTTTCTGCGACAATTGGTATCGTAGCTTCAAGGTGGTGGATTTGGCTCGAAAAACTGAAGAAAACCTGTTCAAAAAATCGGCTGAAACGAAGTAGAAAACAAATCGCAAAACTGTCTAGAAACTATCCAAAATTCGAGGCTATTTTCGTAATTTTTTGCCAAACCAGAAGGAGTTCGGTGAAACAGAAACCACCAGCGTGACGTGCGGTGGAGGCGCACCAAGGTGGTCGGCATGTGAGACTATCCGTGGTGCGTGGGACCACGCGCAATGAGAGTTACGGTGCGTAAGGGCGCGTGCATAGGATTTTGATGACGGTGTCTTCAAGCAGTTTGTTGCTAGCATCATTTCTAACATTTTGGTGTTGTTAGTTTTCTGTTTTAAGTTATACGATAAAGTTTGGAAGAATTTATTCTTTTTGCGTTCTGGATTCGATCGTGGTTGATTTATTCTTGTGATTGTTGGAGATTTAAGTAGCATCAGAGCCTCGTCGACGAAAGATAATTCTGAAGACACACTACTGCTGCCATTTTTAGCAAGAAGATCGGTTGCCATGTTGGCCTCTCTAAACACGTGTTGGACTTTGGCATTAAGTACTCAGATCAGCTCTAAAACTTGCAAGCGCCTTTGTGGATCCATTGTACCACAATATTGGAGTCGGTTTCAACAATAATGTCCCTAAGGCCGAGATCCCTGCACAAGCGTAAACCATCA